GAGCACTGATGCAGAAAGAGGGACCTGGGTTTGATCTGGTCAGCCAGGGGTGCTCCTAATTCTCTGCCTCTTTCTTTGTACTTCGGAGGTGGTGGAAGAATCCAAGCTCAGAGGAGTGCAGCTGCCTGCGCTTCGGTGAAGCAAACCTGACGTGCTGCTGGCCCAGCACCTGCCTCGTGGGCTGTGACAGCATGGCAAACGCTAGGTTCAGGGCTGACCGGAGCAGGGCCTGGCTCGGCTCCCCAGCAAACAGCTCCTTACCTTGAGGGGAGAGGCCATGAGCTCCTGGTACAATGGAGGGGGTGTGCAGAGGAAAGCCTGATTCTGTCATGCTACCCATTAGGCCAGCTTGCCAGCAGACCAGAGCCTTGGGTGGGATTTGTCCCTTCTTACCTTGGGGCATAACTCAAACTGAGCCCCAGAGACATGAGCTGGGTGGCCCAGAGCCCGCAGCAAATCATTGCCAGGTCAGTTCACTGTTCTTTGCCTCAGTTTTCCGCTCTGTAAAATGGGGCAAATGCTACCTCCTTCCTACTGGAGCCCTGGGGGTGTAGGTGCTTTTGTTATATCCAAAAGGGGCAGTCCTAGGAGACACTAGGCTTGAGGCTTCATTGCTACCTCCATTGCACTCCTCCTCCCTGCTTCCCTCTCACCGCCCTTCCTGTTGTGCACTGAGACAAAGGTTCCATCATCTCTTTTTCTCCATAATGCTGCCCCATCTATAACTCACCTGTCTCCGTATCCCCTGCACCTTCCCCTCCCCTATGTCTCTCTCCTCTTCCCTTTCTTCTCATCTCCTCTTGGTTGCTCTCTTTCCAACACAGCTCGTTTTAGCACCTGCTCCTTTTTCCATGACTAACACATCCCATGTTCTCTTTCCAATTTTCTGGCCTTCTTTCTTCCCATTTTGCAGCCATTTCCCGGCAAGTGGCTGCCACAGGGAGAAGGTATTTTTTTCTTCATAGGGAACCATCCAGGGGGACCTCTGAGCAACACTGTGGAGTTCCCCATCTGAGGACCTTCCCACGTCAGCTGGCAATGAGTTAATTCAGCTGCACACAGCCCCTGAGAAGGGCAAAGCCATGGTACCCCCCCTTTTTCAGGTGAGGCATGGGGGAGGTGAAGGGGTAGAATCAAGGTTACCTGGCCAGACAGTGGCAGAGCTGTGAATATAACCTCACTTTTTGTCCTGTGGACACAGAGAAGTGGACTCCAGAGTCTGAGCAACCCCTCCCGGTCCTGTATGCTGCTCTGACTTGCCTGGTCTATAGCAGAGCCTGCCAGGCAGTGTATGCCAGGGCAGCCCCAGATTTCACATTGTCCCAGATGGTCACCCTAGCCATAGCCCTGCTGTGGGTGTGGGAATCAGAAGACCGGAGCTCTAGCTCCAGCGTTTCCTCGTGCTATAAACTCATACAAGCTGCATGCATCGGTTTCCTGGGTTGACTTTCAATTCTTGGGGGCAGAGGCCAGCTCTACTCTGCAGAGTCTTGCTGACATAAAGGTCCTGCTCCCTAGGCACTGTAGCTACTTTGACAAAACCTAATAGATGGCTTCTGTCAGTCGACTTCTATCTTCAGGAAAAACCCTTCTGTCTTCACTCTGCAAAACAACTACAAGAGAAGCAGCCCTGCAGATAATTAAAGCCCAAACCTGCTTCACTGAAGCCAATGGAGGTTTTGCCAGCTGCTAATTTGAGCCCCACAGGATGTAAATGTGTGCAATTGTGTGGTCAGATGAGTGCTTGTGACACCTTCATTTTTCACAAGTGCTGCAGAGAGCAAAGACTAACTCTGCGGGCACACTTGTGCAGGAGAAATAACACGGCTGCTATTGCCGGAAGAAGGAACTTGTGGTTTATCACCTGGAGGATATTCACAGCTCCCTCCGCTTCACCACACGCTAGGGCAAACTCCCTGATGCGAAAGGCCATCAGAGCCCCATGTCCATGGGCTGGAGCAAATGGGTTCAGGACCTGTTCAAGGCAATGTATCATTCCTGGTATACAAGGAAGACAGAGGTGGAACTCAAGGGGCGAGGAAGAGCCTCTGTATTTTTACAACGTAGCCATTTTATTTAATAATGCTCCCTGATAATCAAAAAAGGATTAGCCCCGGTGTCTGCTGTCATCCGAATGGTCTCGTAACCACAGAACTTCCCAAATGCGACCTCATCTGCTTGCGTCATTGTGATCATCATGATCAGCAGCATCAGCAACTTCATCCCTGCAGCAGCACCTAAGAGCCCCAGTCCTGGACCTGGAAGCTGCAGTGCAAGGCACGGTACCAACATGGCGCAAAAAAAAGGGCCTTTGCCCCATGCAGCTCCCAGACGATGTCAGCAGATCTCCCAGTCTAGGGGGCTTTTAGGTGTGTTTCCTCTCTGGGTTCAGGGCCCGGGAGGAGGAGGTGCAGGATGAGTGCCCAAAGCAAGTGAAAGCACAGCTGGGGCAATGCTAAATCCTGCTCTCTGTGCCCAGAAAACATCCCTGAGGAGGAGGAGGCACCAGCTGTGCAGTGTAAGGGGAAGTCTTCTCGTCTCCGGCTGGGCCAGAACCTGCCCATTGCAAGGAAGAGGTGAGGAGCAATGCATCTGGCTGGGACGCTCCAGCCTGTGTTTATGCAGGAGGTCACCTGCTGCCCGGCGTCATCCTGGCTGGCCTTAAAACCTCTGGACACAGTCCCTGGCCAAAGACAATGCAGCATAAGACAGGCAAAGGCTGTGGAAGTGGGCAAGACATTTGGATCCAGTCCTCCTCTGGTGTAAAGCAGCAAAGCTCCACTGACTTCAAAGGGCATTTAATCTGTGTACTTCCCAGGGGACATTTGTATAGTGCCTTACACAGTGGATTCCTGGTCCAGGACTGGGGCTCTTAGGTGCTGTTGCAGTGATGATGATGATGATGATGATGATGGAGTGACATGCCCACACCTGAAAAGCAGTGCTCAGGATCCTCCTGGCTCCCAGCCTCATACATGCTGTGTCCATGCGTTCCCCTAGCAGGGGCTGGGTTGCTGTTCAGAGCACGGGTTTCCTCTGTATCCCAGTCCCAGATACGGATGGTACCGGCAAAAATGCGAAGCCTGCAGGGCTGTGGGAGACAAATGATCCCCAGCCCCAACTCTACCAGCTCGGACTGCACAGAGACAACCGCCCGGTTTGCAGAATTGACCGGGGAAGGTAGCAGCACTTGCAGCCGGGGAATTGCCAGGGGTGTCTGTGAAGGAAACAGGGTTGGGAAGGCATCCGAAAGCAGCCAACAGGCCGTGAACTTTGCTGGAGCATCTTTGTCTTTTGTGGGCCAACTGGATTTGCCCCCAGGGTAGAGAGAGCAGGTATGCCTTGTGCCTGTGCATCTAACCCCCTGGATTTGTGAGGACCGAGTGACCTCTGGTGGGATCACGGAGTTACAGCATCTTTTGGCCTGGCCGGGCTCAGATTCGTTTGCAGTCAGGCGGAAGGCAGGATAGTTTCCTATGGACCAGCCAAATCAGAGGTTTCATAGATTTTGTATGAAATCTCTGATTTGGCTGTGTAGGTTCAGCTTTTGGAAGCAACAGCTGATTTCATCAGGTGCTGCAACAGGACTGCAGAAAGCATGGCTGCTAAGTAGGTGCAGTGATTACCATAAAAAGAGTGGGGAAGGGGAAGAAAAATGATGGGCGGAGTGCGTTAAGAGGTGCTGAAAGCTAAGCCCGTGTGCATGTTTGCCTGGGGAGGAGGATGCTGCCATGGAGCAAGGGCTAGAAGAAATTTATAGGTTGCAATGTGGAGCGCGTTGAAGAAGGCAAACTGCAATGACCCCAGAGGGATTTGACCTGGGCCGTGTGACCAAGAGCCTTATTGTGGGGAAAATGATGAAAAGGACTTTAGTTAACATGAAGGCTCCAGCTGTGGGTTGAGCAATTTATCAGCTTGCCCCGTGATGCCGGGAGTCTGGAGGACCTGGGATGGGCTGGTTCACCACTCCAGAGCCAGCTTGTCACGAGCGGTCAGGGCAGGGGAAATGTCGGGCTCTTTGGGGAGCTAGTTGTCCACCCTGCTCTCCGAGCCAGCTGGTCTGGGAGCCCTTGCCTGCATAGCAAGTCTGTCCTGAGGCCTGCAGACCTTGGGAGCTGCTGCCCAACACCTGCTCCGAGTGCTAATTTCACTCTACGGCTGCTGGAGTCCTGGGACCAGGTTTTGCTTTGGGAGCAGCACACACGGCTGCTTTTTTCTGTGCAATCACAGCAAAGTAGGGCCGGGAGGTAGCAATCATGTAGCGCAACCCATGCCTGTGGCAGGATCAGCCCTATCCAAACCATCCCATACAAATCCACAAATCCCTCCCAGCCCCATGCAGCACCCAGCAAAGCCCAGAAATCCCCATGGCAGAGCACAGGCGTCGCTACGCTTAGAGCATCCCCGACCCATGCCTGTCCAGCCTCTTCTTGAACACCTGCAGCGTCACTATTCCCCTGCCTCCCTGTTCTAACCGCAAAGAGGTTTTCCCTGGTATCCAGCCAAATTTTGGAATTTCCACTTGCTGGTGAATGCCTAAATATCAGTATTTTCTGTGGAATACAAGTGCCAAGGTTCACCCAGGCCTGGCCCTCCAGCATGCCAAGGAAAAGGGTAAGGGTAAGGGAAATGGCTGCACAGGCAGTCAGTGTCAGGCACAACTCCTGCTCCCTGATCTTTCTTATGGGCCAAGCTCGTGGCAGCTGAGGAGGTCCGATGGGGGCCAGGACGTCAGCCAGGCGTGCTCTCCTGTGCGTTGCCACCACCACCTCGAAGACCCCCCTTCCGGCTGGCTGCTGCTCCAAGCCCTGGCTGGCAGCGGAGGGGCTGGGGGCTTCCCCTGATGCACAGCTTGGCTGCGGGTTGCTCTCAGAGACTGGAGGACCCTCCCTTCTGGCCTGGGCTGGGCAGCAGCAGGGGATGCGGAGCAGTCAGAGCAGAGCTGGGGGCTGAGCAGTACGATGGCTGCAGGGACCAAAGAGATTTAATCACAAGAGAGGGTCTGTCTATTGGGGCTCTTTATTGGTGATGGCAAGCCCCGCCAAGATGGGCAGCCCTGGAAATCAAAGTGCTCAGCTGACCTAAAGGAGACTGCAGCACTGGCAGGGGCAGGGCAAGGGACCACCCTGCTAGGCATGGACCAGGGCGGAGGGATTCAGTCGCTATGGCTTGCCATCTACCCTGCCAGGGGCTCCACAAAGCCCAGCTGCAGCAATGCTGGCTACTCTGGGCATCAGGCGCTGGGCTGGGACCTCCGTGCCAGGGGCTGAGGATTGCACTTCTCGTGGTCTCTGTGTCCTGAGTGTCCTGCCCACTCCTCTCAGACCCCCTCCCCAAAGGCACAGAAGCAAAGGGGAGGAAGCAGGTCCAGCTGAGAGGTCCATGGGGCACCTGACAGTCCCCTCCAGCCAGCATCGCGGGGACGGCCCCTCTCCTCCAGCACGCTGCCTCATGCAGGCACAGTGGCCTGGTGCTACTGCCCTGGCTCTGGCTCGTATTGCTTCTCCGTGGCCGTGTAGAAGTCCTCGAGCACGGACTGCAGGTACTCAAAGGTGGGCCGCTCCTCCGGCCTGGTCCGCCAGCACTTCAGGATGATGCTGTAGAGCTCGCCGGGGCAGCAATCCGGGCAGGGCATCCGGTAGCCCCGTTCCACGTTGCGGATCACCTCTGGGTTGGTCATGCCTAGGATGGTATTGAAGAGGGAATAGATCACTCTACAGATACCTGTTTCAATGCATCTGCCCCTGCCCCTGCCACTGCTTGTGGGGGGGTCAGGCTGCCGGGCTAGACAGACCAATATGGCACTGCTTATGTTCTCCTGCTCTTGAAGTGCATCCCCCCCCAGCAAGGCGAGTTCAGGAAAGGACAGGACAACTCTGCCATCCCCTCTGCAACCTGCACCAGGCAGGGTCCCCGATGCACATCGGGCACCCACCGGCCTCACCTGAGAGCAGGACTGTCCTGCATCAAGCATGCGCCTCTGTGAGAGTACCTGCCCAACACAACCGATGCAAAAATCAAGTACCTGAACTGAGGTCATCCAACGCAGCTGGGAATCATCCCCTGCTCCCTGCTTAGCCCTGGGCTGGATGTCATGGGAGACCCTTGCCTTGCCCATACCAATGCCATAGTGTCCTTTGGGTCAGCCGAGGACTTTAGTTTCACTCTCCCGCTGCCCAGGATATTGGCTGATCTCCTAGGCTCCTTTAAAAGCTCCAGGAGCTCAGCCCCCTGCCATGCACACAACAGGAGAATGCCCCCCTCAGTCATGGGCTATATAGGGCCCATGACCCATAGCCAAGCTGCTTGGATGTTCCCCCCTGGATTTCTCTCTGGAGAATATGCAATGCAGCTGTGTTGTCAGTGGGAAGGCTGTAATGCGTGTATTGCTCATAGCAGCAGTGTTGTCAACTCAGGAAAACCAGGAGCAGGATCATGTGCTTCCCATGAGCCGAGCTCCACAAAGCTAATAAAGGCACTGATGGCGCAGCTGCAGCCTATTCGGCATTTATTGCCGCCCATGAGCTGGGCCTGGCTGCATCTATCATTGAAGTTGCCACTAGAGCCAGCAGCCAGGGAGACCGTCTCTTGAATGACAGCACTGGGCAGAGTCACGGTCCCTGCGGTCTTTTCCGCTGAAATTGTGTACAAGTTTCATGCTCCTATTGCTGGGTCTGCGGGGTTGAGGCAGGGCTCATGCAGCAGACTCCTGCAATCTGGCCCTGGTAAATGGGTCACGGCAGGACAGCTGCCAAGCTGCAAGTGGAGGAGCTGTGTAGTTCGCACATGCGCGCGTGCACTCGTGCAGTCACGTAGGCACATGCATACACCAACACGCTTCCCCTTGGAGCACTTGGGATGCTGATGTGTCTATTGCCGCACAGCAGGACTCAGTCCAGCTGATACTTTTTCAACTAGCAGCCAGCCAAGGAGCTCCCTGATGTGCTCCACTGGCACGGAGGATCCTGAGAGCTATTCTAGCAGTGGAGCCAAGCATGGGAAGAGCCTGGCATGCTGTAGCGGAGAGACCCATCACCCCCTCAGGTTGCTTCTGCAAGCAGAGTATGCTTCTTGCAGTCCCAGCAATGGCCCCCACCCGTGGCTGGGAACAGGGCCTGGTCTTCCTGGCAGTGCACACTGCTGGAGGAGGCTTCACCAAGCTATGGGAGGTTTCCTCTGCAGGCGAGGAAGGGGTCACAGTGCCCAGACACCGGCCATCGGGGAGCCAAGCCAGGAATGGACATGCAAAGTCACAGTGAGGGATGGTGGAGGAGACAACCAGCTGCTGGGCTGGGGGTGGTCAGGAAATAGGAGATTTGCCAGGAATGAGCAGGGGATGTGGAGAAAGACTACATTGACCCCCAGACCCTTCCTGTAGGGCTGATGCCAGTTCATTTAGCCCCTTTGCCAGGGGAGGGTCAAGGCTCCATATTCCACAGCTCATCCCATGCCCGAAGGGGGCCCCTAGTTTGTGGTCAGTGGCTTCTCTGGGAAGCAGGAAGCGCTTGGAAGCAAAGCAGGAGGGACGCCGTGGCCCCATACCTGGGTACGGGATCCTGCCGTAGGTGATGATCTCTGTGAGGAGAACTCCGAAAGACCAGACGTCGGATTTGATGGTGAAAACCCCATAGTTAATTGCTTCCGGCGCTGTCCATTTGATAGGGAATTTGGCACCTGTTGGGAAGGAAAACGTTAAAGGACGGCCTTGGTGGGAGACTGCTCCCTGGGCCCGGATCTTGCAGGGAGCCCTTCTGCTTGCTGCTGGGAGGGAATATTTCAGTATTTACCCCAAAAAAGTATTTGCATTTAAATTCCTCCCCACCTTACTTTCATTTCTACCCAGGAGAACTTTTGCAAACGTTTCTCCGATGCCCAATGAAGGGTGCTTGTGCCCAGAAGCTTGCAATTAATTTTTTTTTTTTTTTTTTTTGCAAAAATCGAGTTGGTCTAATAAAAAAAATATCACCTCTGCCACAAGTCCTGGTTGCTTTTTCCCCACCTTACAGAAACTCAACCCTGGAGGGCTTCATACAGCCTAACTGCTTTTGTTCCTTCCCTTCATGCTTTTGAGAAGTAGAGACGGAGGCGCTGAGATGCATTAAGTGCAGACAGAGGAACGTGCGTTACTTAACACTACAGCCGAGTGAAGAGACTTTAACGCAAGCCGTTTGCGGGGAAAAACACAACTGAGCAGAGGGCACTGATTTTGTTGGGATGAGCCCCCACTTCACTAGCACGGATGTGTGTCCCTTGACGGCCATCTCAGGAAGGTGCCTCTGTTTAAAAAATTTCTATATGGAAATGGCTTTTCATTGGAACTTTTCTATTATGCTCAATGGTACAATGGCACCTTTCTTGAGAAAGTAATGGTGAAATGAGGTGCTTGGGGGTTTTCTCCATTTTGTTTTTGGTTTTGTGGATTCAAACAGATTCTCCCCCTCCCCAGAACTGGAAGTGCTCAGATTGCTTTGCAACTCCAAGTGCTGCCGAAGTGCCAGATCTCAAAACCTCTCACCAAACAGCTCTGCAGTCATACCGAAGAGCCGCTGTTTTGTTTCTCTGACTTCACCACCTCTTTACAATCTGAGTGACTCTACCGCACAACCGGCATCCTGGCAGATGACAAATACCTCATCGGCAGCAATTTGCCGCGTCTGTCCTTCCAGTTGCAGAAAGAAACCAAGCTACCGGTGTCCATGTGCCCTCTCGTGGCCACTTCTTGCTTGTGTTCGCCCTGCCCATTGCTGTCACAGAGACTTGAGCCGGCAGCTCTGTGTACAGCAAGGGACCCCTTCCACAACTCATAAAGCCGGGCTATATTAACTGAACCAGCAACCAGAGATGCTTCAGAACTACGGATCCAGAAAGGCCTACAAATCAGTCAAGGAGAGGGCGATAAATCCAGCCTCCGCTGCAAAATTCATACATTGCTCCTCTTTTTACAGCTGGCCCAGATAAAGCGCTAGGACCAATTGAATGGATGACTGAAAACTGGATCCAGATCCAAATGCTGGTTTTCAAGGCCATTTTTATCACCTTATTGCATCTCCACTAAATGCAGACATGGGTAGGACATTTTTTCGGTAGAGCCAGAGATCACAGCACGATCATCCCCTATCAATGCTGTATTTGGGTGGGAGCTCTGGGTGGGAGCAGGATTGCACGGGGGAGAAGGCCAGTCAGAAATAGAGTCAGACCCCTTTGGTTTGGTGCCGCCATAAAGCACCAGGCATGCGACCTACCTTCCTGTGCCAGGTATTCATTTTCTATTATCCTGGCCAAGCCAAAATCAGCAACTTTGCAGCAGAGCGTCTCTGAGACGAGGATGTTCGCTGCTCTCAGGTCGCGGTGGATGGAGTTCATTCTCTCAATGTATGCCATGCCTTCGGCCACCTAGGAGGGCAAGAGGGGCCACAGGGGTTGGCACAGGGATATTCATCTCACCCTCCCATTGCCTGGACGTCACCTTGTCCCCCCCCTCCCCAGTAGGAGATTGCATGACTATTCCTTAGCTGAGATCAGGGCCACACTGTGCTAGGTGCTATAGGAGACAAACCCTTGGCTCCTACAAGGCTCTTGGACAGGACAGATGATGTGTGGCAGCAAGAGGGGACCCTCCAACCTGGGGACAATCAGTCATTGAATTCAGATCACTTGATTCCCAGCCACAGGAGCGGCCCCCCTGTCCCTTGGATTGGAGTTGAAGGAAGATAACAGCATTTGGGGCCTGGTTAGAGTAGTTCAGCTGTGCAGTAATTCAGTAGCAGTCCTGCCCGCCTGGAAATGGGCATGAATATCCTCCCAGTTCTTCCCTTCTATAAAGCACAGGCTTGCATGGCATTTGCTTGTGCTTTTGCACAGCACAGAAACCAGGAGACCCTGTATGCCATGCACGGACTCAGCCGCCTTGCATGCCACTTTTTTTTTGGTTGTTGTTGCTCTCGTCCCCCTTGGCTTTACTGGCGAGTCCTTAACTGTGGTGCTCCTCAGGGCAGTATTGGCGAGCATTACTGGGAGCAGTTTTTACTGGCCCCAAACTGCTCTAACCTGGTGGGCAGGACTACTGCTGAATTACTCCACACCTGAACTGTTTTAACCAGGACCAAATTGAAGCAAGTCCGTGCTGCAGGGAGGGGTCTGGGGAAACGGGGTGCTTTGAAGAGGAGGCTGATGGGATGAAAGTAGGGCTCTGCAAGAACGATCAGTGTTTTCACATGCCCTGTGGCCAGGGCACCAGGATTTTCCATGCCATGCAGTTTCTCATCAACCCCTAGCTTGCATGTGGTTTTAAACAGGATACTCGCACATACTTTCCAAATATGTATTTCATCCTCTATCAACACCCTTTCAGCGTGAGCGCGGCTCGTCTGAGTGGAAAATGGAAGAACTGATGTCACTTCCTGTCCTGATGTTAATGAGATAGCTCTAGACCCATGGTTTCCTTTCAGCTTGCGCGTGCAGCGGGGACTGACCACAGGATGAATGCAATCAATTTAGCCCTTGCTAATTTTAACTCTGGGTGACGCTCTTGGCTGCGAAGCATGCCCAGTATGTGCGCTACTACCTTGGGATGTGATGTAATCAAAACACCGTTGGTAAACATATTGCAAAACAGCTATGCCTTTGCTCCACCCAAGGGGTGGTTGGAAACCCCCTAAGTTACAGCAACTCTACATTGGAGAGAGGTCTGTAGTGACAGATAGGTGCCTGGGTTATGGTCTGGAGCGAAAGGCTTCCATGTGGCCTAGGGATGTCACCCTGGAAAGGGTCTTCAGGTCCATCCCTCTGCATCGAGCATGACCGTCCTCAGCGGTGGCAGATGACAGAACAAGGAGCAATGGGCTCAAGTTGCAGCACGGGATGTTTAGGATGGATATTAGGAAAACCTTCACTAGGAAGGTGGTGAAGCACTGGAGCAGGTTACCCAGACAGGTGTTGGCATCTCCATCCTTGGGGGTTTTGAAGACCTGGCTCGACAAAGCCTTGGCTGGGATGATGTAGTTGGAGCTGGTCCTGCTTGGAGCAGGGGGTTGGACAGGATGTGACCTCCTGAGGTCTCTTCCAACCTTCATTTTCTATGATTTGCAGGCAGCCATTTGTTCATAAAGGGCCCAAACAACCTTTACTCCCCCCACCAGACACCATATAAACTCCCTTACAACCTGTCACAGGTAAAAAGCATGTAAACAGCAGCAGAGACAAGGGCACCCCCAATGCCCTGCCACTGCAGCAGCACGGGAATCATGGGCTAATATGCATGTGGGTGATCCTGAGAAGGGGCCTACACCCTGCCCTGCCAATAAGGCACTGCAGAGGAGAGGGGCTGCCATACTCAGCTGCCCCAGTACCACAGGCAACTGGTGCCTCCTGAGTTTGGGGGAGCACCAGATCGCTGATGGGGGGTCCCCCAATGGCTGATTGAAAACTGGGGGGGGCGGGTTCCCCAGTGACCGATTGCCGAGCCAGTGGTGAAACTGGAAGTGCATGTCCACCAGCACTTCCAGTTTTGTGGCTGGTGCTTCCAGGGGGTTCACAGCTGATCTCAGGGGGGTGCATGTGCACCTGCTACGCATCGCCAATGCCCGTCACCCAATATGCTCTTTATCCTGGATGCATCCAAGTGCTTATATAGCCCGGGCAGCATCTGGAGGCTCAAAGGTGACTCCAAACAAGACTGCAGCCACATGTACTGCCTTGGGTGGAAGGTGAAAGTCGGCTGCAGGCTCTGCAGGTCCTCGCTACTGGGTTTTTGTGGGCATCTAGACCCCAGCCTGGGCACTCACTGTCAAGCTGCAGTTAATTGTGGGTGCAAAAGATCACCCAGACAGGCTGCTTTTTTTGGAGTGCAGCCCACAAGAGGGGCCTCATTGAACATGGTGTCACCCCACCACAAAAGGAGAGCTCTGCCTCTCCGTTCACCACGTGCAAGATGCCTACTCATGTAAAACTGTCCCTCCCTTTTAGGCCAAAGCACCTCACTTAAACAGGGAGCTCCTGGTCTTCTGTGGAGCACCCAGCCAAAGGCATACAGCAGCTCCATCCCTCCATCACACCAGAGCAATCGCCTGCAAATCTGTCTCTTTGTACTGAGTTCCCTCCTCCTCCCCCTGACTCAGAGACCACCCCCTTGCTTGCATGTGCTTTTAAACAGGATACTCCCTTTTCTCAGGGGAAACTTCTTTCCAGTTAGCCCCACACGTCTTTCTCAAGGATGTGGACTCCAACCCACCTGGCACTTGTCCCACCTGCTCTGAATTAACCCACACCTGTTTTCTTCTGTGAGGCATGAGTTCAGTGCATAGTTTGGAAAGCATGAGAGACACTCTTTGAAGGAAAAACCCTTCTTAGGAGTAGAAGCCCCACCTTCCAAATGAGCCCCTTGCACCATGGTGGAGGCCTGGCTTCAGGGGAGTTTGCTGGGGTGAACGCGATCCCACATCTTTATCCTCAGGGCTGTGAATCTAACCACAGGTGATCTCTTTTGTGTTACAAAAAAGAAATAGCTGGTAGCTGGCGAAGCTGCAGCTGCTGCTTATAATCTATCAGAGATATCAAAGGTAGAGCTGCAGGCTGGGTGTTATTAGTAGTAAAGAGGAAATGACCTGAGAAGCCTCCCTGGCAGAGGATAAAAATAGCTATCGGGGCTGCTGCTTAGAGGTATCTCAATCATTTTGCTTCAGGGCAAGTACGAAACAAATGGTTCTGCTGGGTCAGCTTGTGCTGGCTCAGGAAGAGTGGCTCCCAGATCCACTCATTATTTAAAACCGGAGCCGAACGGTAGCTGCATTCTCTAGAGGAGGGTTATGTTAGGCACGGTATAATTGCATGCAATTAAGCACTGCTTCCCCAGACTCTTTTCCAGCCAGGGCGTGAGACGAGTTCACTTCTGTGCTGATTGCAGACTGCGTGAGACTTGCTAAAGTCTTGTAGCCGCAGGGCATTGGCCACCATTGCTTTACCCGTGGCAGTTTTGGGTGTGATGTGTGGTGTTGTGTCGGGGTTGAGCATAGTTTTACTATAAGGTTAGACATTGGATTTGTCTGGGGTGGTTTAGATAGGGATGATCCTGCTTCAGACAAGGGGATTGGACTAAATGACCTCTGGAGGTCCCTTCCAGCCTGACTTACCGATGGGCATTTATACACATGCTCTGGAAGTGGAGGGGGGACATGACCGCTTTAATTAGAGCATCTCGAGAGTGGCTGAATGCACCTGCATAGGCTGCTTCCCTTCCTGCTGCCAAAAGTCAGGCACCCCCCCCTGCACTTGCATCTTGGATAGCACTGCCCCATCTTCTCGACCCCACATCACCGTGCCCGTTCACTGACCTGGGCCGACATGTCAATGAGTTTCGAGAGAGTCAACTGGCTTCCTTCGTCAGTCTTCAGATAATCCAGCAAGCATCCTAGGAGCAAAGAAGAAGAACCCAGTGTCCTCTTGAGTCATGGGATCTGGTTGAAAGCCACCCAGTTTTTCCTTGCCCATTTTTTCTATCAAAAATATGTAGACCCTCCTTACTTCCCAGAAGATCTGAGTAACTTCAGGGGTCCTGTTTCGTGGAGCTGCAGGGCAGAAAAACCCCCCAGAAAAGTCTCCTACTCCCCTTCATATTTTGTATAGGGCTCTTTGCAAAGGTCATGGCTTTCTTATCTCAGAGGGTCATAGCCATTAGGGGTCACAGTCACAACCACGTTTGAGTAGGAGCTAAATTCTGATATGAAAGGGAGTGCACAGCACAGAAATGCAGAGCGGGGAAGGTCATCAGGTCTAGTCCCCTGTGGTCACAGAGGAAGGAGGGTGAACAAAGAAAGGAAACAGACTAGAAAGAGCCATCGCATCTCTCCAGCTCAGCCTTATTTTCAAACACACAGACCGTGGTGACGTCGCCTGTCATCGAACCTGTCCCCAAAACACCCACTGGCTTCACAAAACCTCACAATACTGCCATCTCCCCACTCCCACACACATGCATGAGACTGTCCCAATGATGTTTGACCTCTCTCCAGTGGCAGGAAGCCCATGAGAGCAGAGTTTGGGAAGCCTTGTCTTCTCGAGAAAAGACCTTGTGGGTTTTTTCATCCGCCTCTCAGCTGAGGCATGATTGCCCTTTACATTACCTGCTCTCAACCTGGGATCGTCAAGAGGCCAAGCACCGGCCTCCTCTTTTACAGACCTGAACCTGGTCCAAAATGTCTACAAGGAATAAAGCTGGGTGAGGCTATTTACCATTGGCCATGAACTCTGTCACGATGTAGACTGGCTGCTTGGTGACCACGGCATACAACCGGACCAACTTGTCATGTTGGAGCCTCTTCATAAGGTTTGCCTCAGCCAGGAAGGCATCTGGGGACATGCTGCCTTCCTTCAGGGTCTTCACAGCCACTTTTACGTTGTTCTTGTAATAGCCTGCCAAAAGAGAAGAAGGAGGGCCCTGTGATTAGAGTACTTCCCCACGACGGGGAAATTCAATCCCTTCCTCCTCTGTGAGCCTGGGAAACTATTTCATCCTTCTCGGCCTCATTTCCGCTGCCAACTTGTCACGGGGGGTGGTCTGGGGAGAAGCCCAGCAGTGACGATGAGGCGGTCAGAGGCTGCGAGGAAGAGTTGAAGGGCCACGGGCAATGACATAACTCCAGTGAGGGACAAGAGGAATAGGCAAATCTATCAATCAGTGGGTCAAGAGTCAAGAGCAATCCTGCCTCGGGGTGGATGGGGATTAGCAATGAAGTCCAGCTAGCAGGTGGGCAATCCCTGTTCCACCCAAGACGGCGGCCACCTCGGGAGGACGTGGAGAAAGGCCGTCTTCTCTGATGGGGCCTCTCTGAAGGCAGAGTAGAGGTGGGAGGCCATTTGGGCACAAACTTTCTGGAGGGGCAGCGGTGGAGGAAGGCAGTGATAGGGTATTGCTTCTTTCTAGTTTGCCAGAGAGCATTGGGGGGGAAGCTACCCCTAGGAGGTGGTTTGGGGGCTGTTCCAGAAGGCAGAAACAGGGCTGGAGTTGAGGAAATGTTTCTTTGCCAAGGACCTGGAGTGGATCCTGTGTGTCCTGCTGAAGAATACAGCAGTGAGCGGCATGAAGATACCGAACTCCAAGGGAGAGGAAAAGCGGGTGGTAAATCTACAGGCCAGGGTGGGATGAGCCTCTCGACAGCATGCAGGCCCTGGATTGTGTGTCCATCACTGTGGCATCAGCATCCCTCACTGAAAGGAGCCGGACATTTGCAATCAAGGGGGAGAGTGAATCTGTTGCACAGTCCTGGCCACCGCTTCAGTCCCTGCATCTCGTAGTAGCAAGCAAACATGAAGGAGTGGAAAAGGAGGTGGAGATAAGGAGTTACGGGGTTGCATGCCCCCGGCTTCCCTCAGCCAAGGTGCATAGAGTATTCCTGAAGCCACAGAGTTGCCTGGGCCCAAACTCCAGTCCCCGCTGGAAAGTGTGCATGGGGAGGTAGGTGCCAGCATGCCTGTGTGGGTCTCCACAGAAAGCCAGGCTGTGCTACAAAGCCACAGTAAAGACCTCATTCACACACCCTGCCATGGGCAATGGTTGGAAGTCATGATGCTCCTGGAGAAATAAGGTGTCTCCTTCTCCTGGACCATGTGCTGCTCTCCCAGACATACCCCACTGGGAGCAGAGATCACTGTACTTACCCATCCACACTTCCCCAAACTGCCCGGCACCAAGTTTCTTCACGAGTTTCAAGGACTCCCGTGGGATCTCCCATTCATCCTGAGCCCAGGGTCTCTGGGGAATCAGTGATGTGCATGGGACCGTCAACTTCTGGCAAAGACCATCCCCCTTGGCTGCAGGGGGAGAAAACACCTTTCAGGTCACTGGGAAGAGCCGAAACCTCAGCCCCTCACCTAGGCCAAGCCACGGTGCTGGACGCGCGTGCAAAGGCTAAGTCATCTTTTTGCTTGGAACAAGTCCATCACCATCCCAGCCAGACGACCTCAGCCTCATGGCTCTGAGCATTGTGGTCTGCATTCACCACCAAGGAACACCCCAGGGGATCCATGCATTAGCCCATCCTCAGCCACATCCCTGCTACAGTCTGCTCATGCCCCCCACTACTGCAGAAATAATTTCTGTGCAGGATGGAGGTCACACCTGCCAACATCCCTCTCTCCAGAAGCCAGCCCCTTCCAGCTCTCCTACCTGGATGGTGGTCAGAGAGGTGGTGGCTGGCTTTGCCCCTCCTGTACTTGGGGGTGGAGCTGTGCCTGAAGGACACAGGGCTGAAAGGGCAGGTTCACCCTGCTTATGGCTTTGGGCAGGGGGGGGAGTTGAAGAGAAGGGCATGCACACCATGGACTGCCGGCTGACTCAAGCCTCTATGGCCTTCCTTGTACATCACTTCTT